TATATATATATATATATATATATATATATATATATATATATATCTCCTGTTATAGATAAAATATGCTATATATATTCTCTGAATATATATTTCTGCTAGTGTATATATACATATCTTTTACATATCACTGGATATATATATATATAAATACATATATTCTTGTATTTTCTTTAAATTCCATCTGGGTTCTTGTCATCATAGAACCATTGGAAACCTTCCATCAGTTGACCAAAAAGAAAACATTTGGTTACTTTATGTATCTTTCCTTAAGCAGATAAAATTTAAGAGTTAATATGTAGTGGGAGCATCCTACAGACATTACATCATTCTAAAAGATGACTGGTCACACTTTTAAAGTTCTGTGTGACAAACTGTTTTATCTAGATGCCTTCCTTGAAACTTCTGTTGAGTGGAATTAATGCTGGTATATTTTCTTTGTAAAATTGATAGAAGCTTTTACTAGGACAGAAAATATAATATTTCACAATTAACGATAAAAACCTAAGCCGTTTAATCTCCACAATGCCTTTCAGAGGCAAAGCATTTTGAAATGAGACTCTCTCTTTATCAAAACTGCATGTTCAATTGGTGGAGCATGCTGGGTGCTCTCAGGATGAACAGGAATCTCAAATCCATGAAGCAGAGCTTCTCTGTTGTTTACAGTATTTAAAATAAATTGTTTCACTACTCTGTGGGAAAATTTCCTGTTGAGAAGGAGCTCATAATTAAAAACTGCAACTGGAATAGAATTATAATGCAGGTATTTTGACAATGTGGGCACCTGTGATATTATCTTGAAATAAGCTGACCTATGGTCATTACCAATAGTGTTCTTTTTAGGAGGGATTTGCATAACTACAGAGAATTAGTCCTTCTGCCCATCCTTTTGAAAGAGCATAGAGTATTTAGTAGAGAGGAGGTAATTATGCTATTTGGGATAATAGTCAGATTTACTGTCTAGGACTGCTGTTCTGAACACTACATGAATTTCAGTATAATTGCTCAGATCCTGTTTATATGAAAGCTGATTTTTTTATCAGGTCCCCTTGATGCACTCTCTTTATTCCTATTGTTATTGTTTTTATGCCAGCAGGTCTAACATTACTAGCAAAAAACATTTTTAATATTAAAATTGACCCTTTTTTGGCCTGTATTTAGAACATTTTTATTGGAAATGTTTTTAGTTACCATCAGTCAAAATTTTTCTCAAATTATTACTTCCTTTTGGGCTAGTATTTTGTTTGCAGATCTGTTGTACATCATCTTTA